CGACAGACAAATCGTAGGCCGACATAAGCGGGCCTTAAGACTCGCAGCCTGGTCTCAAAATTACTCGGGAATCTCCCAGTAAGGCAGTATCAATGTAATCTCGAATATGTAACAGAATAACACTCTAACTGGAAAACATGAAAAATACTACTAAATACTTACACAGTGGAACAAGTAACAGTTCTTTACCTTGCTCTCCACGACTCTGTAATCGTAAAGAAAGTTCACGTTTATATACAATAACAAACCAATAGACGATCACACTTTCGATTAACTAAAGATGATCCGTAAGGCAGTTGTAGCGGGTAGCGCGAGGTCAAACGCGTCGTGTCAGTCTATCTGCTTAGCGATTTCAGCGTGGTGGTGCAACTAACCAGAGGCTAAGCATATAATTATTATAAATCAACGTTGATTTATTATATTCTCTGGTGCTCTGGTGCAACCATAGAAATCTATAAATAAAATTTACAAACAAGTAAGTGAATAAATAAATATTTAATTAGTTGAGAGTTAATAATCCCCAACGGAAACACCCGAAATAAAAACAAAAGTGAGCTAAAGTAAAGATGGCAGCCTCCTTTAGGTCGAAATATACAAATAAACAACGATCGGTGCCCAGCAATCCTAACTAGACTAGAACCCAATTGGTAAAATAATCTGAAAAATCTATATAAAGTAAAATATTCTGTAAATTTGTTAGATTATTCACTTCTATAACTATGTGCTGACAGCGTAGGTTGTACTTTGTGACTGTTGAAGGCTTCTCCATTTTCACTACGTGGCGAGAAGACGTGAAACAAACAGTCGTAGAGGCTTTCGACCTACATTGTACATAACATCAGGAGTTAATAATAGACAATTTGTCTATTATTAACTCCTGATGATAATTATTAACTCCTGATAACATTGTGTCTAGGTTATGACTAGCTCTAGTACTATAGCCGCTTACATTAACTGCCGCTGGGCTATAGACCGACCCATGGGGCATGCAATGGACTAGCTCTAGTACTATAGCCGCTTACATTAACTGCCGCTGGGCTATAGACCGACCCATGGGGCATGCAATGGACTAGCTCTAGTACTATAGCC